TTAGAGTTGAACCCTTTGTGTCTCTCTGGGAAGATGCTCTGCTCCTGAATCAGCTGGGTGGGTCTTGCCTCTAGCCTCTTTGCAGGGAGTTCTGCTGAAGGGTTCTATGCTGGGCCTGCGTTCTGGGTCTGTTCAGGATCCCGCAGCCCTCGGTGGTCTCACTCACTCGCTGGGCCTGCGCTCTCTGAATATTAATTATAAAACACAAAGTATCACTCAAACCTTGAGTTATTTTGTCATTATTGCTAAGGTAGCTGTGGGTGCCAATAAAAACAGGTTCGACTACATCAGTCAATGAGTGGAATTTGTATCCGTTTCTGAAACAGAACTGGGCAATAAGAAGTCCTAACAAGCAAGCCCTCTGCACACAGGATTGTCACACCCTGGCACCTCAGAGGCTCGTTGACTTTCACTTGCAAACCCAGCTTAAATTGTCTATATTTAGTTAAATAAATGTAAAAAGAATTTAAGCTTCCCAAATGATGCCCAGTGGTATATCCTAGACAAGCCACTCCCTGGCCAGGCGTTGTCTCCATAATTCACCACTGGGGTCACACCCCGCCCAGGGTGCTGAGTCACCTCCCTGAGCTGCTCGGGGGCCTGAAGGTGGCTGAGGGTCCTCTGACGTGGGAGACGCTCTGAATCTGTCGTGTTGTGCATGCTTACCTCCACCTCAAGGTGCTGACCTCTTTTCATGCATCGTTTTCTGTTTGTTGCAGGTGAGCTCAGCCGATTGGTTGCGGGCAGAGAGTGTCTATAACCTCTGTGAGGTGCTATTTAAAGTTCATAAGGTGGGTGCCCTGGGCTCGCTTAAGCTTTCGTAGAAATGAGATGCCTCCGGCTTGCAGAGTGGGGATGACCTCCTCACCACAGAAGTAGCAAAGGAATATGAAGCCCTTCTAACTCCATCCTTAGGGTGGTCACTGTGCTGAGGCTCAGGAGGTTGGTGGAGGGTGGTGGTGGATGGATGGATGGATGGACAGAGGGATGGAGGGAGGGATAGGTGGATAGTTGGAAGGATAGAGATGAAGGATGGGGATGGATGGATAGGGGGATGGCTGGTGGATGATAAGAGGGATTAATGGATGATGAGTGGGTGAAGGGAGGGAGGAATGATGGATGCAGGGATGGAGAGATGGATGGATGGATAGATACTACGTGCATGTGTATATTTGGTGGGGGGATGTGCTCTAATACTCCCAGGTAGAGTGATCTACTCCAGGAATTTTCATTGTTGTCATTGTTTGTGCTGTTACTATTTTTGTTGGGGATGTGTTTAACTCTCAGATACAATTCTGAGTGCTAATGCTTTTATTTAAGCATGGGCTAGACTGACCAGAATAACTAACAGAGTTTTCCACTCCTGTTAGAGAATGAGTCAGTCCTCCATTACTAATAAAGGTCAACAATTCCTTCTTTTTTTGTGTGTGTGGTACTGGGGATTGAATTCAGGACCCTGCGCTTGCCAGGCAAGCGCTTCTTCACCTGAGCATCAGCCCCTTCCTAATGGCCACCGCAGGCTTCCAGAGTAATCTGGTTTAGTGAATCCACTGCTGCAGAAGCAATCTCCTGATCTCTAGGGGCCTGACTTCCTGTCCCATGGGACAGCAGTGCAGAGGCAGCCCAGCTCCCCCTGGGAGGTCTGCGGAACTTTTCTGCCTGGTGCCACAACCCTGTGCTGACGGGCCACCGGGTCTGTGAGAGCAGAGGCACTGAGCCACGCAGGCAGAGGTGCAGACTCACAAATTGGGACATTGAGCCTGAAAGGAAAGAAACAATGGTTGCCTCGCACTGCTCCAATCCAGGCCCCAGAGGAGCAGTGGCCTCATGCCAGGCTGACGGCTTCTGCCGGGACGCAAGCTGAGGCTGGTGCTCTTGCCTCCCGGTCCTCAGGGATGAGGGTCCCTGGGCTGGGCTGACCTGCCCCCTCCAGAACAGCAGGGCGTGGCTGGGGGCTGCAGGAGCAGGAGACCCGGTGCTGGAGCTCTGAACACACAGCCATCCCTGACACTGGTCAGTTCCAGCCCTGGCTCCAGTGCTCAGAAAAAGGCTCAGCGTCATTCAGCCTCACTTTCACCCTCTCTAAAATGGGATCGTCGTGCCAGGCATGAGGGCGCGTGCTTGGAATCACAGAACTCTGCGAGGCTGAGGGGAGATCACGGTGTGAGCCCGCATAGTCTGGCCAGACAAAAGTTGGAAAGAAAAGCGAAGGCTGCAGATGTCACTGAGTACAGAGGTCCCGGGTTCAATCCTCAGTACTGAGGGGAAAAGAAAAGGATGCTAGAAAAAAACCCTCATATCCAGGCTCTATTTTCTGATCTGTCTGTACAAGTTCTGTTCATTGAGTGGGAGGATGACCATAAGCCCTTGCCATAACACAGTGCTCTCTAAAGGTGGCCTTTCTGGGTCAATGAGACGTCCTTCCTGACCTCTGGGCCCAGGCACTGTCATTTCTAGTGCCTCAGGGCCAGAGCAGCAGGAATGCAATGACTCTGGGGTGGGGACTGCCCAGGAAATGGATGAGGAAGTCACACTCATCCGCCTGATTGCAGTTGTCAGCTAGATTGCTGGAAGTCGCTGGCTTCCACTGCGAGGAACACCCGGTGACAGCCTGGGCACTGTCCCAACATGAAAATACCCAAGTCTGCAACTTCAGGAAAACTGAACTTGCCAGTGTTTGGCTCAGGATGGGGATGGTTGTGCTTCCCTGGATTCTCCCTGTGCTTCCTCACACAGCTGAGGGAATCCTCACTCCTGAGGAGCAAATCCTGAGCCCCAGCCCTGCCCCAAATGGCCTCAAAGTGCATCTCAATCCTCCCCCACTCTGTGCATTAGAAAGGATGGTGGGTCTGTGGGATTCGCAGTGCTTCATAGCAGGCTCCTCCGCTGCCTGAGAACAGCTGCCTGAGTAAGCCCGATGCTGAGAGTGAGGACTCCTGAATAATTTTCCTAACATCATGGCTGGAGCAAAATTCTCTGACTGAGGTTAAACAGGCAGAGAAGCCCTTATTGGAAGACTTAGGATGGGGAGAGACTGAGGCCCATGTCCCTGGGCACTGCAGGATGAGATGGCTTTTAGCAGGAGGGTGACAGTGCCTTTGTCTGCTATCCAGCCTCCACCGGAGGAAAAGCGGCTGCCCTCAGCAGGAGATGGGTTTGCAGCCTGCAGCCAGGGCCCGCAGAGTCACTCCTGAGTCAGCACAGAGCCCAACCTTGTCCTGTGGGCAGACAGGTGCCTTTCCTTGCCGCTGCCCCCTCACGGAGCTGTAGGGAAGCCACCCTCTGTCAGATGGATTAACTGTGAGTAGGTGTAGGAGTAGGTGGAGATGAGGAGGTGTAAAGACAGTGGGAATAGAGAGATAGAGAGAGACAGAGAGAGATGGAGAGGCAGAGGAAGAGCCAGCAGCCAGGTGTGGCTTCTGTGACTCTGGCCTGCAGTGATGACAGGCAGGGACATCCTGGCTGCTCTCACTGACACTGAGAACAGTGAGTCTTATGGGAGATGAAACCAGGGTGCTGCCACTTCCTGGTCCTGTCTCCGGGGCTGCGGGACAGCAGGGCGCAGCTGCACTGACAGGTGCCGTGACTGTTCTGTATCTGCTTTGCTATGATTTTGCTTGTGGAGTTTTTAAAGCATTTGGTCAGGATCTTCTAGTTCACATACCTGGACCCTGCCTGACCAGGAAACCTGGTCCAGAGTCTTCCGTAGGGAGCCTGAGACCCATCATTCCTAGAGACCCTCTGAGCAGCACAGAAGTCTGTTCTGGGATCAAACTCTGGGCTTTTGCAGTAAGCCACATCTCCGGCCCATTTTTATTCTGAGACAGAACTTTGCTAAGTGGCTTCGGTGCCCAGGCTGGGCTATAACTTCCAACCCTCCTGCCTCAGTCTCCCAGAGTGCTGGGATTACAGGTGTGTACCAGTAGAGCCAGGCTGGTTGTTGCTTTATGCTGTCCCTGAGTACAGAAATATCAAGACTTTTATCTTTAAAATCGATGTAGAAAAGCAAGGTATGGATACCAGCATTTTACTTGTTGGGGACAGATAATCAGAAGACAGACATCATTTAGGGTTTATTCATGGACTATTTCTTCACTAGGGGCTGCAGATGCTGCTGTGGAACCTGCCTGTAGGGTATGGCATGTGGTGAGCTCCACCAGGCAAAGGGGACACCCAAGCCTGTCCCCAAGTGCCCTGCCACATGGCAGTTGGTCTCCACAGTCTGGCCTCAGCCCTGCCACTCTGACCCAGTTCCAATTCACCTGTTTTGCAGTTCTGGGTGATGGACGACTACTGGCTGCAGGCCAATCTCTATCTGGGGCTGCAGGACTTTGACTTGGAAGACCAGAGGCCATACTGCTTCAGCCTCCTGGCTGGCCAGGGGAGGAGCCACGTCTTCACAGTGGAGCTGGGCACGGAACTGGCCGTGTGGGAGAAGGCGTTCCAGAGAGCGACATTCTTAGAGGTGCAGAGGACCGGGGTGAGCTCTCATGCAGTCCCCAGGGATAGTGATGAGGATGTATGTAGCCATGATATCAGGTGAATGGACCACGGATGGGCATGGTTCATCCACGTCACCCCGCAGAATGGTTGTTCAAATTGCACAAGGTGTGAGCAGGAAACGGGAGCTATTGTGTGGCAGGTGACATGGGGCTTTGCATTTGGGTTTATACCCAAGGCGAGGAGAGGGCGGAGGCACTTCCCATCCAGTGTCCCTGGGAAGTGAAGCTTCTTTCAGCCCTGAGGCAGAACTGTCACATACAGGGCAGCACAACATGTGCTGCAGGGACTACAGGGTGTCACGCACTAGGGACCTTAGTGGCCAGTGTTCTCAACTAGGACGGTCCAAAGGGGACCACTGAGTATCCTGTGTGTGAACTGCTTCTCCCTTCTTTGTGGCAGCAAATAAGTCCCTTTCACATTTAAACATGTATTAGCTGGATACAGTATGCTGTGCCCTCGTTAGTTGTGATCAATAGTGGGATCCTTTACGGGGACATACACTGCTAGAAACTAGAGTGATGGGAGATAAATGAGGGAGCGTGTCACAGAAGGCCTGGGGTCACCTCTGCTGGTGTCAACAGCTCTGAAAGCTCAAACTTAGCAGGGCAAGAGGGCTTCGCCATATAGATACACGTGTGCATGCTAAGCATGCAGCTCTGGTGCACCGCTCACCTGCACCTCCACTGGCAAGTTGCCCCCAGACTCCAGGATGGGATGAGCTGTGACTGCCACATGGAAGGGGTCCTGGGTCAGGACATGCAGCAGCAACACACCCACAGGTCCCAGGGACACAGAGGCTAACTTTCCTCCCTGCTCTCTAGCCACTGCCCCCTCGCCTAGAGCTGCCAGACTGGGACTGGGGCTGCCCCTCAGCACAGCATCCCCTCCTCAGGGGCCTGTACAGATGCATGGTGGACTTTAGTTATGGAGAAACCAACCATAGGAACTGTCTGTGTCCTCACAGGGCTGCTTGCTTCATAAGCAGGACTTTCATTGTCATTTTCTTTCCAAAGAGTACAGTAACCACTTTGTCTCTAACTTCAAACTGGAGATGTGTTTTGTGCTTGCTGGCATGCAGAGGTGTCCTCCCAGTGGGGACAGCCAATGAAGATCTGACATTTGCTGGGGCCAGAGAAGGCATCAAGGGTCCCAAGTGGATTCTGCAGAAAACACTTCCAAGATTAAGGACTTAGCTTTTGAGTGTTTCATGGGTGACTGAGGTAGAAAGGAGCACGGCTGAGAGACTTGGGAGAGCTGGCCACCCAGTCCCCAAGGGCTCCTGTCTGAAATGAGGTGCTGTCTGCACATCTAAGGCCAGCCCTGGGATCAACTTGGGGCGCTACTGCAGACTGGCCAGGTAGACTCACGGCTGGGCCCCTTTCTCCTTCCATGAAACTTGTGCAAGAGCACTGTAGTCTGCAGTACAGATTCTGCAAGTCATTGACTCTTAACACCATACACACACACACACACACACACACACACACACACACACCCCATAGAGCATCTGTGAGAATTCCATCTATGTTAATTAATATTCCAGATTGTAGACTTGTGTGAATTACTCAACTGTAAACTAGGTTTAAGATGCGAGGGCTCATTTCCTTTCATTAATTCAACTCAAGTTCAGAAGGGCCGTGTGACTTCTCCAGGGTCACCTATCAGTTGAACCAGCATGGTGTCATCCCTCCTAAGAATTTCTGTTCTGCAAATTATATTCTATCTACTAAAATATGCAGCCTTTTGGGTGACAAAGAAGGAAAGGTGTCAGGTCCCTGGAACAAGACGGCAAGTTCAGACACAGTAAGCGGTAGCCTTCTCAGGAGACTCGAGAAGCAGGGTTTCTTTTCTCTACCTGCCATCTCTTTTTTTGCTTGATTTGTTAGTTTTTTCTCATGATAGGCTGACTTAGATTCAGTTCAAGACTGGATTTAAAGTCTCTAGAAGACATGCAGATTCCTAGGTTGGTGACAGTGACCCTTGCTGCTGTGGGCTGGCGATGGTCATTTTCTTGCCCTTGTGGCTGGGCTGTGACTTCTCTGGGAGGATTTCTAAGCATTTAGTACACATTTCCTCACAGTGGGACATGTTTCTAACCCACTAGAGGGCAACTTGGCTGGCTCTCCTGCCCATCTTTCTCTTGGCAACATGATTGATTGTAAGCAATATTATTTAAAATAAAGTCCGGCAGCCATGAGTAAGCCATGCACCTTCCTCTTGCTGGCATTTAACATGTTTGCTGTTTCATCTCTTGGAATATTTGGAAATTTTAACAGTCAATGTTTAAAACACACTTTTCATTGAACTGTGGAAAACATAATTTCCTTGAACACTAAAAATTAATTTTGAAGATAAATTATTAAGAGATACCAGTCTGGAGTTATGTTTCTAAATCCAGTCCTGTTCTTGAGAGGATATATGATGCCATATGGAACACCACAAAGAAGTTTTATTGCTTCTCCTGAAAAAATAATAAATCAGGAGGACCTAAGAGAAAGTCAATGAAATATTAAATAGTGCTCAGATGAGATTTATGGGACTCATTAAAAGACAATTATTGGCTCCCCACCAGACGCTCCCACTTAATTACACAATTAAGTTTTAGATGATTTTCATTACAAGCATGAAGCCTAACGCAACTTGCTTACCTGGCTGTTTTCAGATATGACTTGTCAGCCAGGTTTATTTTAGGTTAAAAATCATCAATATAACTAGATGGCACCGGAACCTACCTGCGGCCCTAGGATTCCTATCCAGAGTGCAGGAGGGTGTCCCTCAGGAGCGTCTTGGGGACCACAGGTTTCTTGGGCTGTGTCATTCATTTGTTGTTAGTGAAGTGATGCCTATCTGGACCCAGCTTTTCCAAAGCTGAAATGTCTGCCTAATGTTACAAAGCAAGAAGAGTCTATCCCAAGACAGGACATCTCTGCAGGCTCCTGAGACCTGGGGTCTTCCAGTTTGCACATGGATTTAAAAACACGTCTTTTGACTGAGAACCTTAATTTGATAACTACCTCATGGAACAGAGCTTTTCATGTTTTCTCAAAATGAATGCTTTTTTGCAGTCAAAAACATACATGTGCAGCTGGCAGGGAGAAGTGCTGTGCTTCACCGTGGACTTCGCTCTGGGATTCACCTGCTTCGACAGCAAGACGAAGGTAAGATGGAGCAGTCCGTGCACAAGGACGCTGGGGACACATTTCACAGCCTTCAAGGGTTGTTGATGCTGGAAATCACCAGTGCTGGTGCTTGAGCGTGGTGTCTGACCCGAGCCTGCCCAGACTGTCTTCCTCCTCACAGCTCAGGCCTGAGGGTTCTCATGAGCCCTGAGCCCACACAGTAGAGAGGCCACCTGGACGTGGTGACTATGGTTCCCATCAGGGTGGAGTCAGGGCAAGAGGAGGCACAGGATGGGCTTTCTTGAGTCCCTGCAAGGGTAAGACCCAGGGCATTAAAAACTTTGAAAGGAAGCGTTGATCTTTGCTGGCTTCAAACCTGAGCATTTCTGGCACTGTGTGTGTCCAGCACTGGTTCTGGGAACTGGATGCTGCCCTGGAATTCAGCTTTCCTTGGTCTGAAGGTGTCACTGTGAGCAAAGGCGATGAGCTACATGGGCACAAGCATTTGAGTCCACCTTGGCCCAGATGTGTTAGGAAAAGACAATGCTGATGGTTCCTACTATGATGGTGCAGGACCCCCTCTTCCTGCTGACCAAAGAGGAGCACAGTGGGAAAATCCCTGGCTGAGGAATGCTGCTGTCCACAAACAAAATATCAACCAGTTGAGTTGAAGGAGCTAACTAGCTTTTCAGGCCAGGCCTGCACTGGGCAGTATCTTGTTCACAGAGCACAGGCTGGTTCATACTCCACTGCTTTTGTGGCAGGGGTTAAAGTAGAAGCATCCTAACTCGCAGGCCTTGGGCTGCCTGCTCCTCTTCTGATTGGTTGCTGTGAATCTCCAGGTTTTATGGAAATCTGGTCCATTTGGGGACTTTCCCATTTATGGGAAGATTCAGTTTGATTGTGTAGCACCTGGTGTGAGTGGCTCCATTTTGGTCAGGTATTTAGGGCCTCAGTCTGGAACTTAGCTCCAAATAGTGACCTCAGCCAGGCTTGGTGGCACACACCATAGCCCAGCACTCCAGTGGCCGGGAGGCAGGAAAATCCAGGTTCAAGGCTAGCCTGGGCTACATCCTGTTAAAAATAAAGAAGGAAAGAAAAGGAGAGAAAAGGAAGGGGAACAAGGCAAGGAAGGAAAAGCAAGGAAAAGAAAAGGACTCCACCAAAGTAGTGTCCTCCCAAAAAAGCCCCTGAGCACCACCTTGCTCATTTCTGCTGCCTACATCTTCTCTGGCCATACAACCGGGGCACAAGCTCAGCCCCAGCCTTCCCTCATTCCCATCTATTCTGAGTGTGGCTTCTTCTCAAGCCTCGAAAAGCTGAAGTTGATTTTCTCCCAGCTATGTCTGAGCTTCCGGTTGAAGAAGATTGGTGCTGTGAGCTTGGGCCTGCAGCCAGCACTTTGGGCTGACCCTCCCTCGTGGGTCCTTGGCCCTTGCTTCTGCCTTTTCCATTCCAATAGAGCAGGGGCTTCTGCCAGGATGGGGATGCCCTACATGATGTGGGGAGCTGTCAGGAGACACTGGTGTTCTGATTTATGGGGCGTTTCTCCTGCACGGAGCTGCTGGGGGGAGCCCACGGGTGCTGCTCAGCACCCCAAAGTGCACAAGAAGCATGCACCCCAGAGGTCATTGGACCTAACATATGGTTAGCCCAAAGGCTGAGAAACCTGGAGCTAGATCAGGAAGTTGCTTCCTGTCCCGAATGCTGGGACTAGCAAATTCATGAGAGCCACTGCTATTTTACTTCCAGGGAAATCATCAGAGTGTTTGCCATCAGGGGTACACACAGTACTTACGGTCATGGCATGACATTTACCACGCTCACACACAGCACAAAACAACCACCATTGCACTGTGGAATCAGACCCCTGTGTGTGTTACTTCTGAGCCACACCTAGCCACAACCCGGCAAAAACTGAAGGCCTGTAAGAAGCAACTTGCAACTGATATGCAGCTCTGAGCTACTGGGCTTGCTTAGCACACGTAAGCCCCTGGCTCTGAGCCCAGCACCAATGAGACATTAAGAATCCTGATGACTCGGATCTCGACAGTCACCCAGGTATCTACACGGATCTAGCCTCAGATGCACACATCATTTCCAATTTCAAAATTGTCTAATTCTGAGCTTGAAAGAAAGACAAGCTATTATTATTATTAATTATTATTATTATTGTATTTGGTATAGGATCTTACTATGTAGCTTAGATTCATAGTGATCCTCCTGTTTTCGACTCCCCAGCACTGGGATTATAGGTGTGTGCCACCACACCCAGACTGTGTCTCTGGCTCAGTACACCCGGACCGAAACCCGGTCCCTGCGCTTGCCTAAGCAGGCTCTTAGTCTGCTGAGCTATCTCGCTGGCCCACGACAAGCAATTATTACCAAACATCATTTCATTCACCATCCACTGTCTATGTTCAACATTAATAAAGGGGTATTTAGCAGGAAAATAAACATGTTTGGCTATGGACATGTTTCCTGCACTTACATAAAAAATGAGAAGACATTCATTAATTCTTGCTTTAACATCATTACAGAAGAATGAACCAGAACACTGTTCCAGCTGCCAGAAATGAGGGGTTGATGACTGGAGGAGGACTGTCACCTGCCGTGTCCAGCTGGGGGTTGGGATGCTTAATTTCAGAGCTTCTCTTGTGCCCTCTCTTCGCTTTAGCAGCTGTTCTGTTTCTGTTCTAATTAAACCAATGCAAGAGAGAAGCTAGAAATTGGTGGAGCTGGAGAAGGAAGGAGGGACAGCTGCTGTGTGGACATGAGACCATCAAGCGGTGATAATGCAGAGGAGGCTGGATGGACATGAAGAGCACAGCTCCTGCAGACCCCAGAGCAAACAGGGTTGATGGCTTTGGTGCATTTTGGAAAAAGAGCCTCATCTCTGCATGTTGTCTTCTATTCCAGACTTTCTTCTTCCTTTCTGGATGAATGCTGTCCACCGATAGCCTCAAGACTACAACTCCACATCTGGGGGGATGGCTGGACTGTCCCATGGGCTTGGAGTGGGCTCAATGCTCCCATATCCTGGTCCTGCACTTGGCTGAGACCCCATGATATCATGGGGCTGAGTCAAGGCTCATGGGACGAAACAGAAAGACAGTTTGGGAGGAGATAAAAGGAAAGGGAATTGACTCTTGTGGGAAAGGAATTGAAGACCTGGTTTACTTGAGTGGGTAGAATAAAAGGCTCTCTAGGCTCCCCAGGAAATTTCTGGGAAGGAAGCATGGCTTAAATCAGCAGCTCCTGGTCCCAAGGATGGATTCAAATCTGACTTTCGGTTGCCAGCACTTTAAAAATGCATCTTTGTGTACCAGGGAAGATAGCGCTGATGGTCACCACTTACAACACCTGCAGCCCAAGAGTAACCATTCGCATGCTTCACATAGACCACAAACACCTGTAAGCCTGTTCTTTAATCCCTAAAACCTCAGAGATTTTCTCTCTTCTGGGGTTGAGATCTAAAATGAAGACCACCTGCAGCCTTTATTTATCCGCTGGGACATCCACAGTCCATCTGCATCTCCAGAGACCCAGCCCTCTGCTAAGAAGGGAGCAGGGCTTGAAATTAAACTGCTAACTAAATGCTTTCTAGACCAAACATGCAGAAATTACATAGATAGTGGAGACCGTGCTCTTTTTTCTGAGAAAAACTCCTTTATAGTCATGGAATGGGAGGAACCTTCAGGAAGAGTGGAAACCAACTGCTCCAGCAGATGTGGACAGGGGACTGAGAGAGTGCTGTCCTCCCAGGGGCTTTCGGTGTCACCACATTCACTCAACAGGGATCAGGAAGGGACAAGGGCATGAGGCTTGTTACCCATGACAACCCTGTCCTCTGCATGTGGACCATTTTGTAGTACATCTCAGACCAGCAGGAGCTGTCTTTCTTCTTCGACCATGGCTATGGAATACAATTTATTATGCCACTGAACTGGGGCAGGGGTGTGGTTTTCCAAAGGAAGCATTTTTCTCAAAGCAGTAGATGCTTAGAAATCACCTAAAACACTTAATTGCAGGGACCTCACGACTCTGTGAAGCACTAGACAAATCTGTCACACAGGTGTCTTTGCCCTTTTGTAGAAAGTATTTTTAAAAGCTGCTGATGGCATTATGCAAAATGCTGATTTATATTATTCCTGGGATTTTTATTCTGGGAAGGGGCAAACATGCTCGAGCCTTCTTCTTCTTCTTCTTCTTTTTTTTTTTTTTTTTTTTTTTGGAACCAGGGATTGAACTCAGGCCCTTGCGCTTGCCAGGCAAGCGCTTATTCTACTGAGCCATTTCCCTGGCCTCCTAGCCTTCTGCTTCGTAATCTAATTTGAATCGTGTACTGCTGCCCCATCCTAGTATGGTTTGGGTGTTGCGTGTTTGTGAGGAGAGCAGCAGGTCTGCAAGCCCAGGATTTCTTTGGCTTCCACTAGTGGCCACATGTGACCACAGGTTCCTCCCAGGAAGCCCAAGAATAGATAACCGGAGACACAGCAGACAGTTTAATTGGTCGGAAGGGCTAGTCACAGCTGTTCTCAGCCTTCAGCTGTGCTGTGAGGTGCCACGGGATAGGGATCATGTATGGATCACAGAGGAAGGCCCTGGGTGGGATGCTCGGCAGCCTTTCTGTGTTGTCATCCTTGGTGCTAGCCCCTCTGTTTACTGCTGGTGTTTGCTTCTGTGTCCCCATGACTCAGAAACGCCTGCTCTGAGCCAGATGTGGCGAAACACACCTGCAATCCCATCACTCTGGAGGCTGAAGCAGGATTCTCATTTTGAGCTCAGCTTGGGGAAATTATTGACTTTGTCTCTAAAAAACAAAACAAAAGGTCAAGGAATATAGCTTGATGGTAGGACACTTGCTTTGATACTTGCCTTGAAATGCAACGCCTCTGTCCAGTTTCTAAATTCCGTATACAAGGAAGACGTGGTGGAGAATCTTGAAGTCAGCATATGAACAGAGAATGAAAGGGTCAGCGGTCAGGTGTGACTTAGGTGTCTATGAAAGCGCTCCCTTTGCTCACCCCCCTGTCCCCTAAGACACTTTGAGAAAAATATGTCATTTCCTTAAAAAAAAAAAAAGCTTTTTGGGCCAGCCAGATAGCTCAGCGGACTAAAGTACCTGCTTAGGCAGAGTGCAGTGGCTGGGGTTTACACTCGGCATGCCATGCTGGCCATACGAGATGGCGATGGAGACTGGGCGTGATGGCGTGTGCCTGTAATCCCAACACTTGGGGCGCAGCAAACAGGAGGATCACTACAAGGCCAATCTACTGAGACCCTGTAGCCCCTACACTAAATACATTATAATGGAAAAAAAAAAAAGCTTTTCCTAGAAACTCAGCCTATACCTTGCTAAAAATAACTGTCTTTTCCTATCAGAATTTTTCTGGAAAGATAGGTTTAGTATAATAAAATACAGACAATTAAAGACTGTCTTTTAGAAAAGGCACCACTATACAGTTATTTGCCTCTTTGGATTAGAGTAGGCATTTGTGGACTGCCTTCCATCTCTAAGATGTTTTCATGGCTCAGTTACTTTTTTGGTTGTGTTGGAGGTGGTGCAACCCCATGTTCTGTGCTGGCTATCAGAGCCCAAGGTGGAGGGAGGCCCAGAGCCTCAGCTCGGTTGGTATTGGTCAGAATCCTGTTTTTTTTTTTTTTTTTTTTTTTTTTAATTTTAGGGAAGGGTCTACAGGGTGCTCAGGGTCTCACTACTAAATCGGACTTGTAGTGATCCACCTTTTTATACAGCCTCTCAAGAGCTGGGATTACAGACGTGTACCACCATGTCCAGTCTCAATTGCCGTCTCAGCATGCTCCAGGGGCAGGGCCAGTGCTGTAGGCCCGGGGTTCGAACCCCCCGGCACCTGCGCCTGCTTGCAGATGCTTTAATCTGCTCTAAGACCTAAATTTGTCTTCCACCTGTCTTGCTCAGATCTTCTGGGCCCAGGCTTGATAGTGGGTAATTAAAAAAGAGGACCAGAGTTTTAGGACACTTTTAAGAAGCCAAGCTCAGGAAGCCCAGGGAGGTAGAGGAATGAAGATTATAGATGGTAATGTGTCCTTAAAACCTAGGGCTGGCATAGGGGTGGAGGGGCAGACAGCCAGTGCAGATAGGAACAGCATCAGGCACGGCTTGATACCCTCTATGCAGAGGTAGACCAGATGGCTGCAGAGGTAGATCAGATTGCTGCAGAGGATAGCATTTATCTGTAGGCTTTTTAACTATTAATAGATGTTATTTTGAATAAATAAGCTCCCTCAGGAATAACTAATTCCATTCCCTTACAGAATGTGCTCTGGAGATTCAAGTTCTCCCAGCTGAAGGGGTCTTCTGACGACGGGAACACTCGAGTAAAGCTCCTATTTCAGAACCTGGACACCAAGCAAATCGAGATGAAGGTAGGGAACTGACACACGTGCGGGCACAAGCAGTGAGTGTGCAAATGTCCACATGGGCCTGAACAAGCTGGTCCTAAGGCACAAATCTTTTTTAGAAGTCCGACAAGAGACATGGCAAGACAGCCTCTGTTTCTTGAAGAGGTTTTAACATTCTAAAATTGGGATCAGTGAAACTGATCTTTTGATTCTACTAAAATATCACGATCTTCATAGTTGTTAGGAGGAAATCCTTAATTTAAAATATTCTCAAAGTCAACATTTAATAGAAGATCTGTATGAAATGCACTGAGGGTCTGACACTCGTCTGTAACCTCAGGAACAGACTTATCTGTTCATTTGAGAGACTTTTGAAGTAACTCTCCATTCATTGCATTGTGATGTCATTTTATTGTCAACAGATGCTGGGGACAGGGAATGAGGCACCAGGGAGCTAGAACCCTGGGTAGCTAAGGAAACTGAGGCAGAGACTTGTAGTCATTTCATATTTGAATTTTTGCCTACATTGACCTCGCCATTCCTGGTGAAGTTAAAACTTTCTCCTGTTTGGTTTGAGCAATTAGTTGAGGACTCTGGCGAGGCAAGGGCATCAGATGTCACCCTTCCCATGTCACACCCACCACCCTCTTCACCCCGTGCTGAGTGAGTGCATGGGGGATATCACTGTGGCCCTGTAGGTGTTGTGTCAAGGGTTCTCCAGGGGCTTCCACAGAGTCCTGTTGTCCCCAGACTCAACTCTGGGGACATTATGCTGCTCACTGGGCATCAGGAATGTCCTTCACTGGGTCACTAGCTCATTCAGTTTAGATGTGTTTTCTGCTCTTCAGTGATCAGCTAGGTTTCGGTGACCTGTATTCACATGAGGGCTGGAGATGCCAGGTAATGTCTAGCAGACAGAGTTGACCACTGTTACAGTCATTTGAGGCACCTGCTTTGAAACAGACTTAATTCTTTCTGCCTCTGAGTGAGTTTACAGTCTAGCTGGTGAAGGAAGGAAAGTTCCAGAAAGTTCCAGATCTCACAGCAATGGGTTCAAGGCTAAAAGCTGAAGTGACTTATGTGAAAAATGCAAATTTTCAAATATAACAAATTAGCTTCACATAGATGTGGCCGTGAAACAGGTGGATATATCCCAACACACCTAAGTAGCTGACTGTGCCTACCTCATCCCCCTCCCCTGACCCCAGGTTGCCCAAGTTCTGTCTGTTTTACCACGGGGCATGAGCTGGGGGACCTGGCTAGGGACAAGTAGAGATCTTCCCTGTGACTGCAGAGCAAAGACCAGGGATTCCTGTGGGCCCTGGTAGTGTCTACATAGGTGAGGAGCCCTGAAGCCTCAGCCTAAGACAGGGAAGACCCTGAGGAGGGTGGAACAAATTTCTATCCTGCCCAGAGTGGAGAAAGGGACCCCAGGCACCAGGGATGTAAGCCACCTGGGTCATTTTGAGAAATGACCTTTCCAGCTGGGGTTCTGCATTTGTTAGAACTCACGTGAGAACATAAAAAGTTATACCCATGAGCATTCTTGACATCAATGCCTTTCTTAGACAAAGAGCCCCAGACTCCATTCTAAGTTGAGAATCAAAGCTGTTGCAAAGGTTGGATGTGAGCAGACACTATTTGTGTCAGCACAAATAGTCTGGGAGGCTTTGTCACTTTATCTGCTCACCAGGAGTTTTAGAGATGATGGGAGCTCTATTAATTGAATTTTTGAATTGAATGATTGGTAATGAGGAAACTGTTTCTTTTACTGTTCTGTTCAAATCTCTCTGACACTGAGCTGGAACCCAGCCTGGGTAACAAGCCCAAAGAGAAGCTTAAAATGGGGTTGGGAGGTACCGAGGCTTTGGGAGCACAGAACAGAGCACTAGTTCTACTTGCACGCCATAGTTTAGGGATTTGGGCAGCTTTTCTTCTTCCTTTTTTTTTTTTTTTTTGTATGTTTAGGGAAAGGTCTACAGGGTGTTCATGGTCTCACTACACAGATTGGACTCGTAGTGATCTGCCTGTTTACAGCCTCCCAAGAGCTGGGATTATAGGCATGTGCCACCACGCCCAGTCTCAATTGCCATCTCAGTGCACCCTGGGGGGTGGGGCCGGCAGGGCAGGCCTGGACCAAACCTCCTACCCCTGCATCTGCCTAAGCAGGCGCTTTAATCCACTGAGCTATTAGGCTGGACCTTGGGCAGCTTTCATAATGTTTCCACTGGCTGGAATTGGAGATCCTAGTATTTCTTAAAGTACCCCCCCCACCAGTCTGTTTCTCTGAACCCAACAGAAAGGTACATGCGGTGCTGTTTAGTTGAATTACCTCTATGACTTAGATCGTGAGGACAGGGGCTGGGGTGTATGGCAGGAGGGGTTGATGGTGTCCTCCCCTACCCCACACCCATCTCCTGCTGCTTTCAGTACCAGGCTGTAAGGTCTCCATGATTCCATTTTTCCCTGAGATGGAGCCCCCAACAGGCAGCTGTGAGCCCCAGCTTTTATCTCCAGCAGCAAGTTTAGTACGCGTGTACACTTTAAAAATATGCTTAAAATCAATACATTCATAAAACAGGAGGAGATTAGTACAGAAAATACTGCCCAGTACATCCCAGAAGTTTTACCACGGCCCGAGGAGGAAAACATTACTGCCACCCCTAGAATGACATGCATTAATCAGTGTGTGCTGCTCTCTAGGACGGTGAGTATCTGATAATCCCTAATGTGGGACAGAGATGGGTTGAAGAATCCCAAAGCAGCACCGGGGAGAACAAGCCTGTCCTTGGGAGAGACTGCAGCGGGCACTGTTCACTCTGTCGTGAACTCGGCATCCTCTCCTGTGTGCTCCTTGGACGGGACCTTCGTGATGTCCTGAACAAAGAATTGCATAGGTCGTGTCAAAGGAGCAATTGGACCAGAGACTGATTTGTTATGAAGCAATTTTTAAAAAACTGCTTCTGGCCCGCCAGCAGAGCTGCTGCGTCTTTGGCGCCGATCTGCTCGAAGCTCCTCTCTATCTTACTTCTTTGCGGATTTCCTTGCTCCTGTGCCCTAAGCCATGCTCTGCCTTCACAGTCCTTTCTTCCACTGGACGAAGAGCAATGGCTCGGTTCCTTCTGCTCGAAACAGTCGCTGGTCTTTACTCTTTCACACGTGTAGCCATGGAAGCCCCTCTCCCCCATCCCACTGGTCCAAACACAGGGAGGAAGATCCTCAGTTGAGGTGGATACGTCACCTGTGCTGGTTTTGTCACCACAGCAACAAAACACCAAGACCTGGTGGCTGGCCAGCGCAGGTCAGTCACTTTCTACTTCTCCAGGGTCCCATCGGGGCTGCCGTTGGGGTGTGGCGGCCCTGGTTCCTCCTGGACACGCTAGGGGTGGAGCCATGATCTTGGCAGTTCCAGCTTGCAGAGGCTTTGTCATCTGGCTGTGCCCCTAACTGGTCCCGCAGAAACCTTCCTCCCGGCTCCGTCTGCAGAGCCAAGGATCTCGTGTGGGGGCCTAGACTACCTGCTCATCCTGCCCTGCTGGAGCAGCCCGGCGTGTTCCAGTTTGTGTCCTTCCCACTGGCGCCCTCGCGTGGGCAGTGGAAGTTCTGCAGGGCTTGCATCCAACCTGCTGGTTTCCAGAGGCCCCGAGGCATCAGGGAAAGGGGGTGGGTACCTTGCCTTATCCCTGGCCTATAACCCACGCAATTAAAAGAGGGAAATATCGTGCATTTTTTGCTTTCTTTTTCTTAAGTAATACCTGTCCCTAGGGCACATTCTTTCCTGCTCATTGCAGAATTGAAGACATAATTGAAAACAAAAGACATCAGACCTCCTGGTTGTTGCGTATCCAGGTGGGGATGGAACTCACTGACTACTTTTCTGTCAGATTCCTGGATTTCCGCTGTAGGGCCTGAGATTCTGCGTGCGGCTTGATGGTGCGTGCTCACACTGATTTTTCTATTACTTTTCAAGATTTTTGCAGTGTGGCCTTACCTCGCAACACCAGAAATGATCAGTGCTGCTTTTGGTTTGATGCTGGTGTCCATTGGCTTCTTGCTGCAGTAGGTTGTGCAGGTCTTGGGAATCTGTAAAGAATTTCCAACTTGCATACATGAGATAAAGCTCCTGATGCACACGAATATGGATGCTGTGGCTTCTTTTCCCCAAGGCTCCCTTTTGAAGGCCAGTGATTACTATTTGAAGATGTGCAGAAATTGGCTCATGGCATGCATCAAGTTTGCAGGGATCCTGCCTTTCTTCTGAAAAGCAATTTGGTTGTTCTGTCTCCTGGGAAAGAGTCACAACTGAATGAAGATTTTTCAGTGTGGTCTCTGGATGTGGGGACACCCATGGGCCCAGCCTGTTTTAATGTCAGGCCCTGGCTTGGGCAGCTTGTGAGTACCCCAGATGATGGGGCAGGTGACACTGAGCCAGCTGTGTGGGTGCCTGTGAACGGACGTAGGCACTAGGGGCATTTCCTGGGCATGTCTCGCATTTCCCCATCCTCACTCAGAAGTGGTCAAGCCAGGGAGCTGACGGCGTAGCTGGCAAGGCGAAGACACCTTTACCTACAGAGCTGCAATTTTAGTTGTCAGAAAGAAAGAAGGCCTCCTGCGTTCATGACTACGAGGGGCAGCTTCAAGCACATTGGGACCGGACCCCTGCAGAGTCCTTCCCATCTCTGTTGGGCACTCTCGGTGTGGGTTTCCAGTCCTATATGTGTTCTGTCCCTTCTCATGCGTGGGCATTCCTTTGGCTATGCAATCCCCTGCTCTTAGAAGTCATCCTGGCTACCTGCAAGAGGACTGTGGTTGGCCTCCCTGTCCCATGTCCCAGGGAAGGAGCAACTTCTAAGAGGAAGGCATGTGGGGAAGCTAGGGGGTGCACTGGCTTCTCCCTGTGAGGTCAAGTCATCTTCCAGATTCCGTCCTTGGGTTATGGCGAGAGGCAGGTCAGAAGCAGCCAATGCAGATGTGGGCGAGGTGATCTTGCCTGGTGGTGAGCAGACAGCTTCCCACTTCTTGGGCCTCCGTGGACACTGCCGGGCCCTTGCCCGGGTTTCCCGGGGGTTCGGTTTTGGCCCCGGCCGTTCGGTGTTCTTTTTTGGGAGTTGCCGGCTTTTTTGTTGTTTTCCCGGCGGCCCTTTGGCAGTTCGTTTTTTGTTGAAGTTCGTTGACCGGGTTTTCGGCCGGCAGGCGGGCCTTTCAAGGGGGGTGCGTGTCTTTCCTGGTCCCAGTGGAACTTTGTTGTCCTGATGCAGAAGAGAGACGAAGCAGGAGAGTGTGCTCAGGACCCCCTTCCTGCTGGGCAGTACGGGCAGCAGGAGGGGAGCGCTTCTTATCCCACAAGCATGCAAGACTACTTTCCCCAGAAGCAGCCTGACTTCTAGAAGCAGTGTAGCCTCAGTTTTGGCTTTAAGGTTCATTGTCATTTTGTCACTTCAGCATGGGTTCCTCCTCCTGTGGGAAGTTTGTGGGGGAAAGGATGATTCTAGTTGTTGTTTTTGCTCTTAAGTAATGACTGAGGATCTCTGAGCCAGGAGAATGGAGGTCCAAGAGTTGCACTGTGCTTTCTTTTTGAGTGTGGGTGTCACCCTCCCCATCATCTCTCCCTGTTGGCATGGGAACAGGAGCAGGGGGAGCCCAGGTCTCTGTCTCATTGTGGTCCTCACCCGGGTCTCACTCAGAGGTGTGCTTGTCCTACCGCAAGTGATCTTGTACCTGAAGCACGTGTACAGCCTGGGTGAGTGCGTGCTGGCCCTGTGAGGTCACAGACCGCGCAGATCCGCAGGAATGACAGCCATGGCACAGTGGCACCGGGATCGCAGCACAGCTCACCCCCCTGTGACTTCAGCCCCAGCCCCAGCCCCAGCCCCTGGAGGACAGTCAGGGAAGTGCATGCTGACCTATGCCGGGCTCAAGAAAATATGGAGCTTCCATAGTCAGAACAAGTGTCATAATACCCAGGACGTCCACTCTGATGATCGCTGTCCCGCAGCGCCACTCTCCCTTTCACTTTTCACTGCACGTGGCCCATGTTTATTTCTACTCTTGAAAAATCCCTGGGTTCCCCAAGTCCAGAGCTTGTTGACTATTTCTGCAACATGCCTGTGTGACAACAGTGACACACACCTCCTCTTCTCCCACAGGAGCTGGAGTTCCAGGACCTGCCGGCCGTGCTGCACTGCGTCCACGCCTTCATGGCCTCCAAAGTGGCCTCCCTGGATCCCACGTTCCTGGACAGCCACAGCCTCGCCAGAAGATACGTGCACAGCAGCTAGAGTGGCTCCCGCCGCGTGCTGAAAATTACAATTATTTTCTTAAGACATGAACAGTTCCTGCACTGCACTGCACCTTTGCGTGATTTTATAATGAGCCCAGAGTTGTGATACCAATAAAATGTGCCACTAGTTTGCAGCCCCCGGCTCACTTGTTGAATACAGGCACAGATTCCCTGCAGTGGGGAGCCGTGGTAATCAGACTGCAGGGCGCTTTGGGACTTAACTCGTGGGCTCCGGCATATGTTTTATTAGTTTCTTGTGTTGGTCATAACTTATAAGGATGTGCACTTTCCATTTTTGTTTGTCAGTGCAATTTACTAGAGTCCCTGAGTTTTCTTTTAAAACTAGAGATGAGCGTTGGGGAAAACCAGGGCTAGGGATTCCTTCTCAAGGCTGCAGGTGCCGGAGAAGCTCAGACAGTGAAGGACTGGGGCGTGGGAAGCGGGCGGTGCCCGGATGCATTGACCGGAAGTCACGTGCAGCTCCCAGGTCTGCTGCTGGTGAGCATCTCAGCCGTAATCCACGGCTCCCACCACACCTCACCCGTCTGGTGTGGGGGGGAAGAGACCCATGTCTAGCATATCGTGCTTATAATGATCATTTCTTGTTATATTTGAAATCGTAGCCTCTGATCGCGCCCCGCCTCCATTGATCTGCTCATGTGTGGCATGTTTGTTACACTAACTCTGGAGTCTCCCCCCCAACCCCACCCAGGACTGGGGACTACATCCAAGGACTTTATACCAAGTCACATGCTCAGACCTTTTTCTATTTTTATTGTTATTTATTTGTTTATTTGTAGTTAGTACCGGGTATACAGGGTCTCACTACACAGATCCGACTCAGTGATTCTCCTGTTTTCAGCCTCCCAAGCGCTGGAGTTACAGGCCTGCCGCCACCATGCCCAGTCTCAATCACTGTCTCAGTGCGCCCCTGGGGGTGGGGCCGGCACAGAACACCAGGAGTCAAACCCCAGTCCCTGCATCTACCTAAGCAGGCACTTTAATTCACTGAGCTACATGGCTGGCCTTTGAGCCCCCTTTCTTTGTTACTTAGAGGCAGGGTCTTGCTAAGTTGATGACTTGCCCAGGCTTGGCTCTAACTTGTGGTCCCCTGGCCTCAGCCCCACAGAGTGCAAGGATGACAGATGTGTGTCACCAGGCCTGACTCCTCCCAGCATCTCAAGGCTCCCCAAGAAGCAGAGACTTGAGACCAGCCTGTCACGCTTATCCACGTCCACTGGCATTCATGGCTGATATTTATTCTTTCATTTTAACTTAAACCTCCTCTTCACAGGAGCCACGGGGCTGGGATTCTCTGCAGCCTCCTCCACAGAAGAAGCAAAGTTAGGTGTGAGGGCCCTCCAGCTCCTCCTGCCCAGAGATAACTCCTGTCCCGGAGCAGGAGCAGGAGCAGGAGCATGCATCGTTTCCTCCCTTGGCCTACAAAGCTGAAACCCACTAAAGAGAAGAAAATGGCAACAGTTTCATTTTGTTTTCATCTTAAAAGTCAGTTTTTAAAAAGTACCATTACTGGATAACAATGAAGAGAATAATGTTTTCCAAAGGAGATTTGATAGTAAAGTTTAGATAGATGGATAGATTTTTTTTAAAAGTACATAATTTTTAAAATTAAAAAAATCTATAATCTTTTGGGGGGCACTGCATTGCCTCACCAGGTACCCCCCCCCCGAAACAAGGTCTTGATAACTAAGTTGTCCACGCTGGGCTTGAACTTGCAATTCTCCTGCTTCAGCCTGCCAGAGTGCTGGGATTATAGGTGTGCACCACCAAACCTGGCCAGTAATCATTTCTTATTAAAATAAGACAAGTGGCTAGACACCCTCTGTCTTCTCTTTGCATACCAAGCCCAGGTTCCACATACCACTTATAAAAACCTGGGTGTGCAGCTAGGCGAATTAGTGCACGTCTGCAGGAGGCTGAGGCAGGAGGAGCGGCAGCTCCAGCACAACATGGACTACTTCATTATAGTAGAGGCTGTGGGTGTGCCCTCCGCCCGCCCCCCACCGGAGCTCCACCTCCTTTTGTGCTGCTGTGGATGAACTCCATGCCCTCGTTACTTTCCAGACACCCCCAGGAGGCTGCTCGTCACAGCCAGGCACCTTCCTCAGCTGCAGCGGTCACCATGCGTGGCGCTCACGGTGGCTCAGACCTGTGCTCAGCACATGGCCAGGTCCCCTGCCCACGTGGAGCGGGCTTCATCTCCATGGAGAAGGGGGGCACGCATGGTGCTTGCTGTGAATGGGAAACCCACTAAAGGCGTTTGGGGGCGCACCTGTTTGACTGAGTTCACAGCTGTCAGAGCAGACGGGTTTCTTTACGTGTCTGCCTTCCCAACCAAAGCTGCGGAGTCTTCTTTGATTTCTTCTTCTTCTTTTTTTTGATTTCTTCTTAAGAATGTCACATTTATGTTCTACAAATCTGCCCAAACACTTCTTCTCTCAGGTTGTCAAGCCGCCTGGTGGCGAATGAGGGATTTCAGAAAAGTCAGGCGGACACTTGTTCACATTTCTCCAGGTGTTGGGTCTTTTTTTTTTTTTTTTTTTTTTAGCTGTTGTGATACCTGGCACCATTTTTTTTTTAAAGTAGCTTCTTAATTGTCATCTGGAAAGAAAACATTCTAGAGTAACATCATTAAAAACAGCTCTGATGAAGTACAGTCACTACTATGTATCATAAAGCAGGTATGAGATATTTTACATTCACGGATGTATGAGGCAGTACTGTCCCACATCTATAATACTAACAGGTACAATTAAAAAGGCCTTAATTCAGGCTTGATTCTACTTTTCCAGCAGAAGGCCCAAAGGCTGACTTGGCACAGCTCTGTAAAGAAACGCACTTTCTTAGGTAGCATCTGCTTTCATTAACAGCACAGTTTACTCACTACACGAACAGCAGCTAAAAACCATTTTTAAAAAAATGGGGCAAAACCAAGAAACTGGGTGGGAGAGGAGGAGAGAAGACTCATGGGAGGATGAGTGAGTGAAGGCAAGCAGTAGTCAGGCTAACTAGCATTTTATCAAATCTGAAAGCTAACGGCTCCACTGAGGAAAGGCGATGCCAAGCAGTCATGCCTAGAAGCGTCAGACCACAACCACAACACTGCACCATGTCAGGCATTGGGTCTTAACACTCAATAGAAAACTGAATTTAGGTCTGGCATGGTGACGCACACCTGTCACCCCTAGTGCTTGGGAGGCTGAGGCAGGAGGATGCCATGAGCTCAAGGCCGACCTGAGCTACATGGCATGATCCTGTCTCAAAAAGCCAAAAGAAGAGAGAGAGAGAAAGAGAGAGACAGACAGATAGACAGACAGACAGACAGACAGACAGACAGACAGACACCGGTTTATCAGAAAGTATGGCATTCCTCTTAAGTCTTTCGTATTTCTATTTCTGGTTGGAGCTGCGTACATTCAGTAAAAACAACTGTGCAACCTTCATGCGTCTCTCGGGTCAAGGAAGACTTTGCTTGACATCCCTATTTCCAGGGCTGCACTCCAGGGGTGAATTGTATGGGTGTGTGGGAGAGCGTGCCACGCATGCAGGGTTGGATATCCACAAATGTAGCTCTAGATGTCCACAGGCTTGAGGACCTAGGTCTGGGATTCTGTTTATTCTGCTGGTTTCTGGGCCTGGGGACATTCTGCCCTCCCCACCCCTGGCCCTCTGGTCCCCCCGGGACAGTATGACCAGGAGGCAAGCTGGTGACGCGGAACTACTAGAGAGCTGCTGGGAGGAACAAGGCGTCCTTCCCGCTCCGCAGAGCAGCTAAAGAGATGCACTTGATGTGTGAGTCCTCTGACGTCAAACTGCAGGATGTTTTTTCACAAGTCTAGTTGTCCTTGCACCACAAGGATGGCCCTGTGCCAGCTGTAGGGGCTCTGGAGTCCAAGTGTGAGGATCGGTGGCAGCTGGGTCTGTGAGGGGTCAGCACTTCATTTATTCCAAGGACCTGTAGGGCCCAGGGCTCAGGAACGGTCCAGAATCACTGGGCGTCACCTCAGGGCCCAGGGCAGCACCCAATCCTCTTAGCAATGCTGGATGAATGTCTTTTTTTTCCTCTGAGAAGTGAGAGAGGAGACTGCCTGGCCAGGAGGGCGGGGCATCCTGTCGACCTTGTGACGTGTCCCCTTCTCTCCGCCCAGCAGGCCACTGGGCAGCCTGGCTCAACAGTGACGCCCAAAGCATCTTGCGGCCACCTCACCTCCTGACAGCCGGCGTGTACATCAGTGTGGACTGAGAGTTTGTGTGGCTGTGACTGAGTCCTGACAGAAGTGAGTCCCGCAGTCAGGAGCCAGGCTGCTCATCTGAGCACACGGGTATCTGCCACCAAGAGGGGGAAAGGGCTGGCTAGGAAACTCTAGGTTTTTATTCAAGAGAAATCTATTAGTGAAACTGCATAGTGACCAAGGCGCCAAGGGGTGAGTATGGGTCCCTCTTCCTGGCAGAGCCAGGTTTGTTTCCTCAGTCTTAGAACGCTGTCCTGGGTCAGTCCGCGAAGAATCTGCCCCCAGGTCACCACCCGAGGTCCTTGTTGGTGCTGTCCAGAGCTCCAAGCCTGGGGTTCCAAACCAGCTGCAGAAAGCCTGCGGTGACGAAAGCAAAGATTTAGAAAGTAGAAAGGATGGCGCTGGAATCGCCGGCTTTCTCTCGCCAGCTCTGTACTTCCAAAATCACTTTCTGAGAATAAGAGTGCTGTGAGAAACTCAATAGGGGGTGGGAGGTTTGATTCTCCACTTTCATAAACACAGGAGAAAGAGGTTCTTTTATTCCCAGTAATTACTTTTGTCTCAGCACACTGTTTGGCATGACTGACGAGTAAAGGAGGTGGTCGCTGAGATATTCTGGAGACTGAGCTATCAAAAGGGAAAGATCCAGCTTCCAGTCAGTGCCACCCCTCGAGGTCGGCCCAGCCTGTGCCTGGCCGGGTCCCCAATTGGAGGGCAAGCCCCTGCAGAGAGGACCAAGCACCCCCGAGAGGCAGCGGGGGGGGGGGGTCTGCTTCCGGGCCAACCTCGTGCAGCCAGTGAGAGCTTGTGCGCCTGTGTGCCCGTTTTAGCCTCAGGATGCGGACGCTTGCAGCGGCGGCTGTCACGCTGGTTGTGGTCTGGGCCGGAGTTCTCCTCCTTTTTATCTTGAGAGGCAGAGGACTCCTCTGGGGTAAGTAGCAATCAAGATATAGTCCTTCGACCTTGTGAAGAAAGTTACATTTCCTACTCTAAGGGAAAGTGTACTGGTAGCTCCTGAGAGTTCCTTAGGATCTTTTTATTACATGTTTTGTTTCTATTCTGGTTTGGTTTGGTTCTTGAGACAGAGTCTCCCTTTGTAGCCCAAGCTGGTCTTGAACTTGTGGTAATCCTCCTGTCTCATCCTCCCAAGAGCTGGGATTATAGGCTTGTACCACCCCGCCTGGCTTAGTGCGTGCTTCAGCATGCCTTTCAAAGCAAAAAATGACATTCTTAAGTTTAGAAAGATTAAAATAAAATTCTTCCTGAAAATGAACTGATTTTTCCTATGATGCCAGAATGAAACAATTTCATTTTTATTCATACATATGAATATTTTTCTTTGTATTTTTGTACTTTGTTCCTTCTCGTTTTTCCAACCGCTAACATCTGCAGGATTGTTTTAGGATCAGTAGCTATCATGTGAGATTAGGCTGAGAAAGCTACCGAGACACACTGGGTAAAATAATTACTCCATATTTAAAAGAGAAAAGTCACAAGCCCTGGAAGTGCTCTTTACTCAGGCTGAGCACTGGTGGGACACTGGCCTCCTGTAGGGCCACCACCACGTGGCCCCTCCCCTGCTGACCCCTGGGCTGGGGCTGCTATCCGGCAGGGACTGACCAGCTCCGAGCCCCGGCCATCCTCATCCACTTCCAGTCCTGGTTCCTGCTGCAGAGAGCACCTAAGGAAGCATTTTATACCCACAGGCTTTCCTTTCCTTGGGGCATTTTGAAGCTGTCCGGGTACTTGTTAACTTTGTGAATTTCTCATTTAGAACATAGATTCTGCTCATGGTATAAAAAAGTTTTATTTATTTATTTATTTATTTATTTAAACCAGTTGACAACAAATTAGCTCACTTGGGTCAGCACAAATAGGACAATAAACTTTCTCAGAAGGTTCATTTTCATCAGCTGTATTGTACCACGTGGCAAACCTAGGCCCGTGCAGCACAACACGCTGCCAGGCGATTCTGTGTATTGGGGTTCATGGCACTTGTGCCACAGGCTTTGGTGCCCAGGACCACCACCCCATGGCCAGGGTCCAAGTGCAAAGATAAAAAATTAAGTGCCTAAAAATTCCATAATAAAAGAATCTTAAAATGAAAGTTAAACGTTTCCCAGAAATCCAATGCATGGGCCACTGTCGCTCTAGGCACATGTGAGACAAGTCCCTTCTGGAAGGCTTGCTTTGGAGGGGGCTGGGGGCGTTGTATCCTGTGTTCTGCTCAGCTCAGTCCAAGATGCATTTGCAGCATTTGTGCAGAATCCAGAGCCATGTCAGTAACTTCTGGCAGACGGCCCCGGCAGGCTGCTGCTGGGAGAGAAAGCAAGACGCACGTGAACAACAAGAGCAGGGGTGTAGCTGGCAAGAGGAGACATGGGCTGACCCCAACGGCAGATTTGTTTAGAAAGGAAAGTCAGTAGGCCTCCTTCCAGCTCACTGGAGTTCAGTAAACAGAAGATCGAAGCCCCGTCCTAAAGTCAGCTCTGAGCACTTGGCATTGCTCAGAGTCAGCCAAGGGTAACAGGCATGGGGGCCCGTGAGGTGTGTGGCTCAGGGCCCTGAACATCTGGGCTTTCTTTTCAGTTTTGTTTCATTTTCCTTGTTGCATTTATATAAACGCTGTGGAGACGGGCAACTTCCCTCTTTGCCTGAAATGCACTATCTTCTTACCTCATGGTGTCCTGGGTTCCTTCTCTTTCTCTGCCATGGTTAACCTGGGGGAACTTTTGGGGCTCACTGCTCCCTAAAAGAGTAGCATCACCCTCCAACAGGAGCAGTCCCTCAGGGAGAGCCAGGAGTGGTGGCGACATCTCCTGCTCTAGGAATTGAGTCAGCTACTTCCCTCGAGCGTCATGCTCAGATCTGAGGAAAAACTGGAGGGGACAGGTTGCATGGAAGGGGCTCACAGAACGGTGACAGGTGGGGACGTGCCAGCACGATGTGCCAGCTGCACCAGGAGATGGAAGTGGATGCAGGAGCAGCAGAGCCTTTCCCACGGGGCGTGAAGACATGATGCTGCTGGGCACATGCGCAGAAGGGAAGGAGGAGTGGCCACGCCATGCTCATTGGACCACGTGACTAGGTGCATGTTCCAGGCAGCGATGCAGGTGGGGCAGAGGAAGGTGGGCTCAGCAGAAGTCAAGGTGAAGATGGACGTTTGGGAGAGGATGACACAGGTGACACTCAGGAGATGGGGGGAGCGGGTGCGACTGAGCGCACAGCCTGGTACTAGAGCTCATAGCCCTCAGAGGCCTCCAAACTCTACCAGCTTCCTAGACAGTGACCAGGAAAGCACACAGCAGGGATGGAGTTGCTGAGTCTCTGAGGTAAGATTTGAACCCAGAAGAAGGTCAGAGAGCTCCTCGCCCCCACCCTCAGTGATTGGTGAATCCAGTCAAAAAGGGGACACAGCTGACTTCAGCAGCAGCAATGAGCTGGCCGTGGAGGCAGCCTAATGGGCGTCAGGGACCAGGAGAAAAGTGAGTGAGGCTCCTGCACATGCCTGCCCAGCAGTGGGCCTGGCATCCGCACCCTGCTGGGGACTCGGGGGCTGATGAGTCTCACAGCTTCCAGTCCCTGTCTCTGCTTGCGCCAGCATCGTCTGAAGGCGCTCAGGGAGATGCTGCTGGCTGACTTAGCTCTGCTGGGCTCTTGTGTGGACTTGACGTGTGCTCTGGAATGTTGGTGTATCACATCACTTATGTCCAAAACAGTTGAAATTTGCTTTTCTATTCTTTCCTCTTTATTTTTGGTACTGGGGATCAAACTCAGGACCTTACCCTTGCCAAGCAGATGCTTAAGCTGCTGAGCTATCTCCTCTCTATTCTTTCTTTTCTCCTTCCATCCCCTATTCTCCTTCCCTCCCTTCCTTCTCTCTCCCTTCCTTCCTTTCTGTACTGGAGATGGGACACAGGACCTTTGCGCTAAACTGCATCCTCAGCCCATGATTTCATTTTTATTTTGACACAAAATCTTACAAAGTTGCTAAGTTGCCCAGGCTAGGATCAAACTGGCCATCCTCCTGCTTCAGCTTCCTGGAGTGCTGGGACTGCGGGCCCACCCCACCTACCAGGCTGAGGTTTACCTGTTCAAAAGTAATTTTATTTCTATGGAGATATTTAATGTTTGTAGCATTCTTATTGTCCATTACTTGTAGGTATAAATGTTTTTCTCTCGATGAAGTACTGGTTACAGAAAAGCTAGCCTAGTGGCAGGAGGAGGGGGTGCCTCTCCAATGTTCCCTGTCACTTTCCTAACACTTGTCCAGACTCAGAGGTGGGGTCATGACCTACTTGCCAGTCTGAGTGCTGACAAAATAAAATCTGATCACAGCAATCGCAGACACTGCTGGCATATTTGAAGAATGCATCTTCCATGAATTGCACAAGTAGGCAGAAATTGTTACTAATGGACATATTCTAAAATCGAGTGGGGTCATGAGAAACAGTGTGGGCCAGCGAGAAATTCAGTGTAGACACATCCCTGCCTGTTCTAGGCTCACTGTGAGAGGGGAGCCAGCGCTCCATCTTAGGGACAGAGGTCCATGGGTGCAGTGACCTTTTGGGTCCCCAGGTTGTTCCTACCCCTGCTGGACTGGAGGGAGAGTTGCAAGTGTGACTGGGTTCTTACTGCACGTCGTTTTGTTCTACAGGAAAGACCAGAAATGCTCACGTTCACAGTGTGTTGGAGGCCAGTGTGCGCACGGTAGACAGGGCCATCTATGCCTCCCTGGAAAGGTAATCTGGCCGAGCAGGAGGGAAGTAATGGGTGTCGACTACCTTCTGCTGTCCCATGCTGCCCTCTTCATTCTTCACTGTCACCTCCTAAACTGTCTGGCAGCCCCACCTAAAAGCCCAGCCCCACGCTCGTGGGAGAGACTCACTTTCCTGTATCATTGCAGGAGGCGTAAAGAAAAGAATCTCAGACTCTCTCTTTAGCCAAAGACAGAGCAAAAGCACCAGAATCCAACCTGTAGTTCAAGACTTTCTAGTTAAGAGAGGCTAAAATCCCAATCAAAAGTGGGCCCCTCTCTAAGACTTAGTGCAGGGAAAGGGGAAGGAGCTCTAGAGGCCCCTCTTGCTTGTCAGTTGTAATGCAGAGACACTCCCTGGCTCACGAGACACAGAATTCTGCCGCTGAGCTGCAACCCAGCCCCCAGAGGTTTGCAGGGCAGTGTGGAATTACCTAAAGTACATCTTTCCAATACAGTACCCCCCCATGGGCCCCACCTTCAGGTCCTGCCATAACTGACCTTGTTTTAGGGTACGCCAACATTTCTGGGGATGCACTGAGAGACCCCCACTTGCAGTGCCCCAGCTCAGGTGGCTGGTGGGTGGCAGGTGCCTGGAGTCCTCTGTCCACCACTGGGCCTGGCCTGTGCCTATGTCACGTATGACCCAAGAGTTCAGAGTCCGTGAAGCAAGTGTACAGGCAATGCCTTGGTCCCCCAGGGGACAGCAAGGTCACTACCAACATCACCTCTGTCCTGGTCCTCAGGAACCCAGAATCCCCCTGCTGTGACCCCCTGCCCCTCTCCCACATACACTGCGGCTGGGGCTGCTACAGATCCAGAAGGGCTGGGTCCCTTGGGAAAAGGGCACAGCAGGCTGAGGAGGCCTCGCAGGAACGCTTGCACAGGTCTAGGCCCCCGCAGCCTGGACACAGCCACTTCGCATCTCTGGAGGTGACTGGGTTTTTAATATGAAGCAAACAGTTGTTGCGAAGATCAACTTAGGGCAGGCATGGGAGGTCAAGGAGACGTGGCAGCCATTCCCTGCATCACTTAACATCTGTGCACTGTTGACAGTTGTGTGATGGGGGCTGGGATATAGTTCAGTGGCACAGCACCTGCGTGACAAGTACAAGGTCCTGAGTTCAATTCCTGGTACCAAAAGAACTCAAGACATTGTGCTCCATTCCTTTTACTGACCTGACCTCAGCAACCCTGCAGGTAGGAATCAACAGTTTCTTTCTTTTTTAAAAAAAATGTTAATTTATGTATTTGGTACAAGGTCTCACTAGGCAGCTCGGACTCGTAGTGATCCTCCTGTTTTCACTATTGATCTTTCTGTCCCCAGCGGCTGGGATTACAGGCATGTGCCGTCATGCCCCAAACTCAGGGGCCAGCACACCTGGAAGTGAGGCCGGGGCAGCGTGCGGTACTGGGAATCGAACCCTCTGTTGCTGTTTGCCAAAGCAGGTGCTTAGTCCGCTGAGCTATCTTGCCGGCCCTAGGAATTGCAACAACTTCATCACTGTCATCACTAGATGCTGAGTTAACCGGTGACTAAGAACCAAGCGGCTGTAAATGTGCTTTCCCTTCTATCTCCTGCCCCAGGAATCTCAGAAAGAGGGACGTTGCTTCCCCATCTCAGCTGCTGTCTTTTTCCAAGCTCCCCGAGCCGACAAGCAGAGCCATTTCCCGAGCTGCGGAGATCACGGAAGCCTCCATCCAGGCACTGGGGCTGATGCAGCCACTGCCTCCCCCGGGTGAGTGCGGCCCCGGAAGCACAGGGAGGGCGTGCTCAGCGTGCAGGGGGCTGGAGGCATCTAGGGCTGCTTCTAGGCTGGCAGTGAGCGGGGCGTGGCAGGACACAGAAGCTCTTCTTTCCTGAGAACAGTCCCAGTTTCTTATCCTTGCTCCTCTGGGGGACTCGATTCTCGGCAGCTCAGGTCAGGCACGGAGAAGCAGCTCTGTTCTCTGGAGTGAAGTGACGTGGGCATCTTCCCTCATCCCCCTACCCCCCGGGGGTCATGATGCAGGGCACTAACCTCGAGAGCAAACACGTTTCTCATGGAGGAAGTGTTCCAGCCAGCAAAGGGCACCGCTGAGGCAACGCCTGGGCAGATCTGTCGCCCAAGGCTGTTGCCAGTCCACACAGAAGGACTTGACCCTGGCCACTTGCACGGGAACAGAAGACTGAGGGATGCGGTCAGAGACACATTTGCTCCTCACGTGGCGGGGTGAGATGCAGGATTCCTTCATCCAGTGCTGAGTCCCTGGACACACTTGACTGCACCAGGGTCAAGTGTGTCCAGGGTCAGCCGGAAGTCTCACTTCCTAGATTTAACAGCGAAGTTTAATTGATTGTATAGCAGTAGGATTTGTGTGTGGTCCAAATCCTAGGGATCCAACCGAGGGCATCTGCTCTGAGCTATGAGCCACATCCTGTCCCCTTGTTTTAAATTATTTATTTATTTATTTATTTATTTATTTATTTGGTACAGGGTCTCACTACACAGCTCGGACTTGTAGTGATCCTCCTGTCTCAGCCATCCCAGTGCTGCAATTACAGCATGTGCCACCATGCCCAGTTTCGGTGACTGGCTCAGTGTACCCAGGGATAGGGCTGGCATAGCATGTGGTGCCAGGAATGGAACCCAGGTGCTTGTCCTTGCCAGGCAGGTGCTTAGACTGCCAAGCTATCTCCCCGGCCCTTGTTTTTGTTTTTCTATTTTGAGACAAGGTCTTGTTAAGTTGCCCAGGCTGGGCTCACCCTTCTCATCCTCCTGCCTCAGCCCTCCCAGAGTGCGGGATTATAGACAAACCACCACATTCAGCTTGAAGTGGCTCTAGTTTCAAACCATGTGGTTGGAAAATGTTTGTAAGGACGTTGGTCCCCTGTTCTGTTGTGGGACTGGCTAGGGCTTTGAAAGAAAATAAAATAGTAACAGGGATGCTGTGCTCTGTGCCTGAGATGCAGGTCTCCAGGCGCATACTTAGAACCTCCAGGCCCTCCAGATCAGGGTGCAGCCATTTAGGGAAAACAGGCTGATGTGTCTGGTCCAGGCCATGAGGCAGAATTCAAGAACCCCATACCACAGGATATTTGAAAATCGTTTTCCTTCAAAGCATAGCCAACCTAGAATATTTAAGTCATAATAATAATGTAAAAAAGTCTAAGGACCCCAGAAGTTCGTCCCACTCACTTCAGTCACAGGGTAATAGCTCTTCTCCTGGCTCTGCTGAAGTGGGTTTGGTTGTTTATGTGTCTGCAGCCCCCGGCTCCCTTTAGAGAACTTGATTTGCGTATGCCGCTGTAAGACGTGTGTAGCCCCCTAGTCACTGAACGCAGATTATGTTCGGCATCTTGTTTAATTACTCCCTTTGTTATTCTTATTAAGAGCTTCTTTGATTTTCTTCTCTTTGAAAATGGAATGCATTCTTTCCTGGATTTTTCGTATTGAACATCTCAATCTCAGTGGCATCTCATTAGTGGTTAACCAAGGTTTTTATTTATTTATTTATTTATTTATTTATTTATTTATTTATGTGCGTGGGGGGGCCGCTCAGCCCACTAGGGGGCAGGGCTGGCTGGCATGTGGTGCTGGGGGGATTGAACTGCGGTCCCTGTGATTTGCTCAGCTTGTTCTATGTAGGTGCTTTAGACCACTGAGCCATCTCACCAGCCCCAGTTAACCAAGGTTTTATGGTATTATTTCCAAAGATTTATTTAAAACATCTTGGGGAATCAGTGATTGTTCCTACTAGTGGATAATAAAACAGCCCTTACAGTGATTTGTTTTGTTTTGTTCGTTTGATTTTTTTATGTATTTGGTACAGGGTTTCACTATACAGCTTGGACTTGTAGTGATCCTCCTGTTTTCATCCTACAGCGCTGGGATTACAGGCATGTGCCACCACGCTGGGTCTCAGTGGCAGGCTCCATGTAGCTGGGGGCGGGGCAGGAGTGGCATGTGGTTCTGAGGCTCGAAACCAGCCCCTGTGTTTGCCTAAGCAGGTGCTTAGTCCACTGAGCTATCTTGCCAGTCCTCACATTGAATGACGTAAAGAGTGACAGAATTGGCAAAAAAATAAAAATGAAAGAGACTGATTTCTTGAGCTCTAACTTAGAGGGCTGTATAAGGACTCGAAGATCAAGTAAAACTGCAGAGGTTTATAAAGGCACAGCTGAAAGTTGTCAGCAAGCCTGACCAAGGCAATTTTTAACTAGAAGATGAAGGCCACTTGTCCACTGTCCTCTGAGAACCAAGCGTGGTGAGACGGGAAGGTCTCACTGTGAGTGACAGTGTCTTGGCACTGCAAGTGCCTGTGGGCCATGGAAACCCAGAGGTGCGGCGGGGCTGAGGCCCACTGGTCCCAGACTACTTCTCTGAAATGTCAAAAGAAAAGACAAAATTTTACATTCCCTAACAGGAAAGAAGCTCAGGAGAATTAAATGAGCCCTAAACTTAAAAATAAGATGCAGATTTTCTTGAAACAGTGACTCGATTCCATGGGATCCCCTGGCTCAGATACCAGAGCCACACGTGGAACCATGTTAGAACGCTTACTCTGTTTGGCAGGTTTGCTCTTACATATAGTGCGCTGATGCACTGGTCTTCATTCCTCAGGCTTTGTGTCAGAAGATCTACTGAACATGATCGCAAATCTGTCTGGCTGCCTACCTTACATGCTGCCACCAAAATGTCCCAACACTTGCCTGGCAGACAAGTACAGACTCATCACGGGTGCCTGCAACAACAGGTACAGTTTGGAGATGCTCCTTATGCCCTCCCATGACCAGGGGCCCGAACCACCGGGGAGTCTCTCCCCATGGTTCCTGGTCCCTGCCACGTGGCAGCACCCTTGAAAAAAACTGGTCCTAGGGAAGATGATGTATCATGTAGTACAGTATGTAAAGGAAAAGGTGGGGAACATTGCCTAAAATCCAGAAGGGAGGAGGGGAAGGGAAGAGAAGGGAAAGGAAGGGAAGGGAAGACAGGAGACAGGCTTTTGACATAGTTCAGTAAGCAAATTATAGTGGTATGGTGGTGCACATTCATAATCCCAGTACTTTGGGAGGCTGAGGCAGAAAAAATTCAAGTTCAAGTCCAGTGTGGGGAATTTAGCAGATTACTAAGATGTTGTGTCAAAAAATACCAAAAGGGACTATGGATATAGTTCATTGTGAAGGTCCTTCAGTCCCCATTACCATGCCAAACAACTCCCACCCCAAGCCTCACTGAAGGACTGAGAGGTCACAGGGCTAGCACCCCAAGACACACTGAGCAGCCACGTGTGGAGTAGGCACAACCACTCTGATGGGACATCCCCCCCATAGGGGGCGCTGCAGCACAGAGTGAAAGCAGCTCTACTCTAGCCTCAAGGACTTAGCTATCCAAGAATCTGATGGCTGAGATGCTCTGTTGCCACTACAGTGGCCACTTCCTAGCTCCCAAAGGACACAGAATCTGGTACGGGATCCCCTGAGGCCTTGGAGGGTGCCAAAGTCTCCCAGTATGAGGCAGTGGCAGCCCTAGCAGGTGAACCCACAAAGAGGAAGCATTTCTGAAATTTCTCAGACAGGCGCCATCCACCACAGTCAAAGCTGTGGCTACATTGTTGAGGTTTATTTCCTGGAGAGCAGATAAGATATAAATATAAATCCTGAAATTGTCCAGATAAACCAGGTAAGCAGGTCCCTCAAAGATCATTGTGCCCAGCGGGGTCTGCACCTTCCTGTTCCTCTGGGCTGCCCTGCAGCTCTGGTGGTGGTTGTGATGGGTGGTGATGGTGGTGGGGCAAGCGTTAGGAGCCCAAGCTGGCTGCAGCTGGATGCCGGATGGCCCCAGGCCCTGCACAGGAGTGCTTCTGCCTCTTGAGCTCCGGTGCAGACTCTTCTTACTTTTCCCCTTCCACACAGATTGAGACATAAAATGGGCATATTTACCTCTTCAACAATGTTTTGATTTTTTAAAAATTTTACTCTAAATATCAAACTTCAGGGACCTGAATGTTTATCCTTAATACCCCTGAAGAGTATCACAGTGCCGGGCTGGATGACACTGTGGGTGTCCCCAGGTCCTCAAGGGCAGTGTGCCCACAGCGTATCCCTGAGTGAAGTGGTGATGCACCAGGTTGCCTTTACACAAGTCTGGTGGTCTCCAATCCTGGGCCAGGCAGGGCATTACACTGAGTTTGGAGCAATAAGCAACACTGAATTTGGACCAGTCAGGAGGTTTGGGTTGGAACCATTCACAGGCTCTCACTTTGGTAAACCAGCAAGCTCAAATTTGGACCAATCAGCAGCATTAAATTTGGACTAATCAAGAGTCTTGAGTTTGGACCAATCAGCAAGCTTGAACTTAGACCAATAAGTAGACATGATTTTGGACCAATCACAGCCTCAAATCTGGGCTACTCCCAGGTGTGCTGCTGCTGTAGAAGCAGCATTTCTCTCACAGGCTGCCAGTGCCTAAGAATCCCTCAGAGGTCCCTGCTGGTTGTCTGCCCAATGCTTCACAGCTGCAGCAGCAAGCTTGAGAACAATGGGGCCTCTCCTGTGCTGTCCCTAGCCCTGGGGGCTGTCAGGAGATCCGCAAGTGGGAGAGTGTGTACTCCGCCAAGGAGGGCCCTGCCAACCCTTGGTTGCCCATGTTGCCTGCAGTCTCTCGTGCAGCGTCTCTCCCTCCTCTCTAGAAAACCCAAATCCCTTCTTTGTACAAGAGTAAAAGGCTGTATCTGTTAGGCTGACAATAACTTAGTAATAAAGCAGCCAGCTTTTTATTACTTACATTTCCAAATACTCCAAAAGATTTAAAAATAATTTTTATGTGCGCTTCACTCTGCATATTTTCTGTCTTCTCACCAGATGCGCACAAGAAATTTTAAGTGCCTAGCTCCCCATCTTTCCCAATCCAAATGCTTCTGTCTCATAAACTTCCAAGTCCTCCAAGCTGCCACTGCATTCCGCCTCTGAGCCACCAGCTGGACGCCCCTGAAGCTCCTGTCCCCACGTGGGTGTGACAGATGCCTTGGCAGGTGGACACTATTGCTGCTTGATACCCCGAACAATCCACTTTTTCTCACTACCAGAAAACAATTCCCAAGGAAACAATTCTCACTTCTTTTCTTTTGGGCCTTCAGGGTGGTATTTACTGTAATTTGTCTATAATTTTTTTTCCAAATGTGAGAAGGCTTTATTCTTGAATGTCTTACCTATGTATCATATTTGCTCAAATTACATTTGCTAGATTCATCTTTGTTTTATACACTTATATAAATTCATCATACATATATATTTTGAATATTTTACATATTTACCTTTTATAGATTGAAATTTTATATTTTACAAATTTGCAGGCAGCATAAGGGTCTAAGTGCTCGTGTTCTTCAAGAGTGAACTATATTTTACGTTCTTTGTTAGGACCCAGTTGGTGAAATCTTCAAAATTAATACCACAAGGGTGTTAATAGTTGAGCACCCGAGGAAGCTTTTGTTGGCATTCACTCACTCCTGGGCAGGCTGGGCAGTTGGTTAGCTCCTGGGTCAGCTGAGTTGTCACCTGTTGGATGGTGGCCTGCACCCTGTCACCCTGCTAAGAGTGCTGATGACCAGAAGTGCCCCTTGCTCCTGCAGTCTGGACTTGTGGGGTGTGTGACTTTGATATTAACCAGCAAATGGAGCAGAGCACTGAGGAACCCCAGCCTACAGTCACCTTTGGAGGTGAAGGGTGCTCAAAACCTTGTTGGTGCAGACTTGCAGTTGGGAACAGAAGTTGTTAGGGAAGTGGAACCTGGTTCTCAGGAGGCCTTCAAAGTTTTCTCTGCAGTGCTTTTTTTTTTTTTTTTAATGTATTTGTTACAAGGTCTCACTATGTAGCTAGAACTTGTAGTGATCCTTCTGTTTTAAGCCTCCCCAATGCTGGGTGCACTCTTGATTTTTTTTTTT